TTCGGAACCTTTTCGGCTCGTTCCCACCCACTGGTCAAGCGTTTCCTTCGGGGGGCCCAACGGAAAAGGCAGGTTCCTCAAAGGACCCCCCCACTCTGGGACCTTAAAGTGGTTTTGAAGGGGTTATCGGGATCTCCCTTCGAACCTGTGGCCCAGGCCAGCCCTGAGTGTGTGGCTCTCAAGACTGCCCTTTTGCTGGCGTTGGTCTCAACCAAGAGGGCAGGGGAGCTATGCGCACTCTCCGTTCGCCCAGAATGTCTAGCATTCGGTGCTGAGGACGGTGTGGCTGTGCTTTGGCCGAACCCAGCCTTTCTGCCTAAGGTTGTTACTTCGGCTTTTAGGTCAAGGGTCATCAGGGTCCGACCCTTTCACCCGCCGCCTCATGCCTCCGAGGAGGAGGAGCGGCTGCATCTGTTGTGCCCAGTCAGGATGCTGAGATCCTACCTGGCGGTTACAGCTTCCTTCAGACGGTCGGATCAGCTATTTGTGTGCACAGGCCCTAAGAACAGAGGCGCACCATTGACACCCAGAGGCTGTCCCACTGGGTGTCGCGGGCGATTCGCCTGGCGTACCAGGCTCAGGAGTTGGTTCCCCGGTGGGGTTCAGGGCGCACTCCACACGAGGAGTCGCGGCCTCCACAGCTCTGCTCCGGGGTGCCTCTGTGGAGGACGTTTGCCAAGCCGCGTCTTGGGCTTCGTCCTCTACCTTTGCCCGGTTTTATTTAGTGGACGTGGCAGAACGGTCGGTTGCCCATTCCATTCTGAACGCAGGGGTCTGACTCACCGTGACAGACCGCTCTTCCCGTTTTTTGGTTGCCATACTCCAGGAGCTCTTGATAGAGGCGTCCGGGGTATGGCCTTTCACTCTTCTCATACCTCAGGAGCTCTTGGTAGAGGCGTCCTAGGTATGTTCACTGTTGGCTCCTACGGGAGTCCTGCCTGAGTGGTGGGCGTCCTTGATAGGAGCGGCCCTTGCTCGGTGTTCTTGCTCCTCTGGAGCTTGTCAGTGTCACTCAGGCGTCCCTTGGTAGGAGCGGCCTCGTACACTGCGCCTTCTTATTCCTGCCCCCGAGTCCATGCGCCTTGATAGTGCGGCGGGAACTCGGGCAGGGCTCCAATTCACTCTACGCTGGCCTGATGGGGGTACATTCTCCGACGGGCTTACGCGTGGTTACCATAGCGAAGCCTAAGGGGCGTTAGCACCATGATGTAGAATTGATAGTTACCTAATGTAACTCAAGTTCTACGAATGGTGCGTAGCCCCTTAGCTACGGGCCCATCAGTCCAGCATGGCTTTGGCTGAGTTCAAAGTGGTTGGTACGGGCCGTAGAGGGCTATTTATAGATGGGACTGGCAGGTGATTGGAGCATTTTGTTCTCTCTGGCGGGAAGCAAGATGCTTCAGGAGTATACCCATAGCGAAGCCTAAGGGGCTACGCACCATTCATAGAACTTGAGTTACATTAGGTAACTATCAAATATCCAGTATTTTACTTTGTTTTGGTCATAGCTCAAGGCAGAGTGGGTAAGAAGGGGTTGGGAAAAAATGTGCATCTGCTTCATCCAACCCCTGTTCAAACCTGTATCAGTGTAAATATAGGGGGAGTTGTGTTTTGTAGGTTTGAAATAAATCTAACTAATGAAATAATGGTCTACCTGTGTATATAGTGCAGTCCCGTCTTTGGAGACTTTTACGTCCAGCCTAAAGACACATTCATATGTCCTGGCTTTTAACACGGTTTCTTTCTGCATGTGAAGCACTTAGGCCAACTGGAGTTGTTGTAAATGTGCTATACAAATTAAATTGACTTTGACATTGACATACATGTGTAAAGGGGCTAGCTACCACCACAAAGCAATGAAGTCCTGCTTCGGATCTATAAAGCATCCATTAGATCTCGACTAGAGTACTGCTCAGTGCTGATCTGTGGCATAGGAAAGACTTTCATAAACTGTTGAGAGAGCATCCAACGAAGATACATGCGCATTATTCTAAATCTGCCGTATCGTGCCCAGTTGACAGCAGAGCATTATAGAGCGCTCGGAATAACATCTTTGCAAACAAGGCGTAACTTTGCGCTTGCATGCTTTGGTTTTAAATTGTTCCATGGACTCTCGCCTCCTGCACTGGGACCATACCGACCCACACAAAGAGTCCTGCCGTACCCTGTGCACTGGGTCAGCTGTGCGTTTTACAGACGGGACACTTCCCAGTGCCCACATCGTGCAGAGATCGTGTCTCACTCTGGCCACCAGGATGTGGAACATGCTGGACTCTGACTGTGTCTCTAGTAGGCCTGTCACGATTACAAATTTTGCTGGACGATTAATTGTCTCAGAAATTATTTTGATAGGCAATAGTATTGTCGTTCTGAGATCATTTTCATCTAATACGATGATAATGATGCAGGTACACCTTTTCAAAGAGAAATACACTTTTATATTTAAAGACCACCGCCGGAAGTGGCGGAAGTAAAAAAGCGGCTAGCTTGATGCTATGCTAGCGGCTTTTTGTGTAAAGTTCTTGCCAATAATGCTGCTCTGCAGCGTCTTTGTCCTGAGACCTTCCAGAGACTTTATATAACACCAGTATGTGTTCACAGAGGTGCGTCATTAGTTTATTTTATTATTAAACGGTACTTCCGCATCGGCAAACACGCTAACGCTAACTGCGTTAGTTAGACTAAACTCTGGTTTAGTCACTACTAGAGCCTGAATGAGAACAACTACCGTGTCCCCCGTTGTCAATCCTGGTTAAAGCTGCACTAACTGACTTTATTTTTGTATTCATTACGAAAAAGCTATCCATGTCCATGTAGTGCATTGGGATATACGTCCTTTTGAAGAAAAAGTTGCAGATTTGTGCTGGCGTGACATTATATTTTAGATCGTGTTTTGATGAAACAAGGAAGAGAATGTGTTTCGGGTCGCAGATTGTGACCAATCACAGCGGCCCACTAGCCCCCACTTTTGTGAGAAATCTCCAGGTCCGTTAGCACAGACAGCTGAGTTAGCACAACAAGCCGAGGAGCTAACCTGAAACTTCCTCGTCTTCGTCACCGGTTACTGCTTACTTAGCGAGACAGCCATCCAAAAGAAAGTCTCGTTCCTCCGCGCTTCCCGGTTCTATCGTTCTATGGTCACGCCATCCACGTGCAAATCCATATCCATGGATCTATCCATATTGGGAGACGCTAGCTCCGTCCCAACAGTGGGTGTGTGTGGGGGCGATAGCTTCGTGGGTGCGGGGAGGGGAGCAGAAAGAGAGAGGCCAGCGGGTCCGCGGCTTCAAAATCCCAAAGTCAGTTAATGCAGCTTTAAGTCCTGGTTTAGTCCTGGTTTAGGTCCTGTTTTGGCTGTATTTTGTATTTTTGAGCTATTTCAGTCTGCTTTGTGGCTCTCTGACCCGAGAGGGAGAGGGAGAGAGAGAGGGGAAAAAACAAGCATGCAAATGGAATTCATCGCAGCCAGGAAAACTATCGAGCTAATTTTAATTATCATGCAATTAATTGATTTATTGAATATCGCGACAGGCCTAGTCTCTAGTGAAACTTTGGGGGAATGACAAGAAAAAAGTTTAATGAGTTAAATCTTACTTGTAGCTCACTGTTGCAGAAGAGAATGACTAAACTCTGTAAAGCGCTGTAAAGGGCAAGTATTTTTTCAGTGACGCACACTGCAATTATTTACATTTCAGTTTCACCAAAGAGTTTTATTCAAGTAAATGTGGTAGAAAAGTCCTTGTATTCTGTCGTGTCATAGTCCAGGTGGGTAATGGCCCTTTGCTCGAGGGGGCGTCCAGGTCCTGTCTAGTCTAAGACCAAGTCAAGTTCCAGTTTTAGTCCACGCCCACCTCCCTCTGTCCTGCAAAGCCTCAGCCTCTGTGTGCTGTGCGTGAGATAAGAACAAATAGCCTTAAGTAGTAAAATATTATCAGTCCACGACAACCATCCTTTTTTGAAGATGTTTTGAAGGAAATGTATCAAACACACAGTGGTCAAGTCTGAAAGCAGAATATCAGCGTTTCAAGATGAATATGAGTTTTCAACAAAAAAAAGGTGAAAACAATTACATTTTTAGTTATTTGTTATTAGTTCTTTGAGCCGTGTGAATATCAATGTTAATGTCAGAGTGCACATTTAATAGTAGACAAACAAATGCACTATAGAATATTTGAATTGTCTGAAGTTGTAATGACAACCCCTCGAGACTTTTAGAAGGATAAAACATCAAAACGTAACAGTCGAGTGTTTTTTTCTTTTATAATGGCCTGTTATTTTGGGAAAGAAAATGACTGAAAACTCTCAAGGCGTTTGGTGGATTGAAATAACAGTGGAATGAACAGGCAACAGAGAAACATATTACAATGTCAAGAGCGCCAATAGCAGTGTGGAGGCCAATAGACTGAGGAAACACTGGCCACAGGGTGAGTCATCTCCCACGGCAATTACATACACAGCACAACAACCACCGCAAATATTGAGGCACACAGTAGTGACAACGGTAGGGACTTCAGCCCTGCATCAAAATGTAATGGAAAAGTGAATGTGTAAAGACAATGCATTAAAGTGAAGGTCAGATACTGGACAAAGTGTGAAAATCAGGCACCAGTTAGACCTGCCCCCACAGGGTCCTGTTTGGAGGCACTTAATTAAATCCCCTGATAGACAGCAGAGGCCCGTCACCTTTGGTTTAGCTTTTCTCCTCCAGAAACTCATACTGGTGATGCTTATTCAAAGGGGAGAGACTGTTTTTAAAATGTATAATGAAAAATACTTAATATAGATGATACTACAGGGTTAAAAGGTCAAAAATATGTCTGTTTTTTCACCAAATTACAATATTATTCTAAAAAATGCATACAACTAATTTTGTCTAAATCTTAATATGTTTCTAAAATTAAATTGTTGCAATTTCATCTTCCAGATTGTACATTTTAATTCCAGTATAATCTACGCTGCATAAGCACTAAAAGGCCAGTTTATCTTGGAATGAGGCGTACCGTGCAGTGATTGTGCTGCTGAAGAAGAGTGGGCACGTCTCCTCCGATGGGCATCTGTTTGGCGAGGTCCTCGTCCTTGGAGCAGATCCACCTCCAGAGTTCCTCCAGGATCCCCAGCAGCCGGGACCAGCGCTCGGCACTGGCCTCCAGGTGAGCTCTGTCGGGACACACTCTCAGTAAGACGGTTGCGCAGCTTACATTCACCTCACTATAATAACTGTAATCTTTATTTATATAGCGCTTTTCACAGTACAGTATACAGGAGGAGCATTCCAGACCTATTTTACACATTATTATGGTAGGGGAAACCGGAGCACCCAGAGGAAACCTACGCAGACACGAAGAGAACATGCAAACTCAACGCAGAAAGGCCTGGTGGTGGACTCAAACCCAGGAACTTCTTGCTATGAGGCACAAGCGCTAACCGTTCAGTCACCGTGGCGCTCATTAAGTACTGGTACCCAAAAAATAGAAGTTCTCCAAGCTTTTAAAACCTTAATGGAACTTTGGACAGGCTCTCCTTCAGTGAGTGTCTGACCGGCAGTGCAGGTGCATGTAATCTGTGCTAATCTCACTTCTGCTCTGTGTTAATAATCCATAATGTTCATGAACACAGTGTAAAGAAGACACCTGTATTGGTGCTGTCAGGAGGAGTCTTAATTACACATGTTCAGCAATTAGAGCTAATGGACTGTTCACAATCACCTCTCACACCTCCTCTCTCACACATTAGGGGCAGTAGTCTGTGTCTATGTGTTAAAAAAAAAAGAGTTAATAGGATAGGGACACAAATACAAATGTTTATTTTTACAGGTTTTGGTATTTTACTCCTGGCATGTTAGTTTAAATAAGCTACCTCAGACTGTGGAGCAGTAGATTTGTGTTGCTACATATTCATTGAGGGGATAATATGAAATTGCGTGTGCTATTTTTGCTACAAAACGGATATGTAAATGAGACAATTAAGTGAGGACAAAGACCGCAATTTTGAAAGCACAAAACTTCTGACGATTAAATGACTAAGAGCTTCAGCATGGGCCGTGAATGAATATATTAAATTAACCTAATTCATTTTAAATATTATTTTGGAGATCACGACTCTATATTTACTATTAAAACAATGACATGATTTCATTGTACAAACTGTGTTGAACACCTCCTCCACTGTGGGAGAGGGCACGCTGCACATGTGACCTATGAGGCTCAGTGACTGAATATACAGAGCTGACAGTTTTATCTTATTAAACTGTCACTGGAGCAGCCACAAAGGAGTTAGGCCATTCGCTTCACAAAACCTTTCAGGGATTGGTTCTAGGAGTGTCTGATGAAACTGCTTTGGAGACTCAGGCATAACTGTGTTTAGTTAAGATTCTCCACGACAGGTTTAACATTGGATCAGTTTTTGGACTTTAGAATTAAAGTGACTTAGACTAGGTATTTAGACAGTCGAATATGACGAAACAGATCAGAGAGTCAAGCAGCTGCAACACAAAATGCAATGATAAAAACACATAGAGCCATTGGTCCATAAGTGGCAAATTACCAATGGCCATAAATGTTGCTGAAAGTTGAGTGTCCTGGATCATCACCACTTACAGGCACAAACGTATTTCAATCCTTCCCCACAAATGCTTATGACGTCAGCTTTTTGGCTCATTTCTTTGGGCAGTTTTCTGTTTTTCACGTGAGCAAACCGTAGATCAATGAGCCCATAATGCAGTGCTGCTCTGTGCGTGTCTCCATCTGGCAGTGTCAGCTTCAGTCGCACCAGTTCTTTTGTCAGGCTCTTAGTCCCAGTAGATCACCAGTCCTATTTATTTATGTCTAATGGTAGCTGACGTTGCAGTATCTTCAGAAGTTAAGAGCCACTGCAGCGCACCTCTGGGCTCCTTTCAAGTATTTTACTCCTATGCTTTTGCGCCCAGAAGTTGAACATGAAGTTGAAACACAATGCTCAATTGTTTCTATAATTCTCTCAATGTTCTGCAGAATGTCACTAGACCTGTGCAGTATGTGGCAATGAATATATACATGATCTTGATTTGTAATTTGAAAGATCGGTTTGTTATTGTCTTGAATGTGTACTGGTATATGTGAGACAGGCCTCCTCAATGACAATGTTTAAAACCAGGTTAAAGACAGTTCTGTTTAGCTGTGCATACAACTGAGGGATTTTATATTTTTAGCTTTCTTTTTAATGTTCTGTGATTATTTATGATTTTAATGCTTTCTTATTTTGTTCAGAACTTTGAATTGCCTTGTGTATGAATTGTGCTATATCAATAAACTTGCCTTGCCCTGCCTTGCCTATATGGACAACTTATATGAACAGATATGTAGATTGGGAAAAAGTACATAAAAAAACAAAACAACCCATCCCCATTCATCTCGCAGCTTAGGTCCTGGATCATTAGCCCGTCTGTCTGTGTGGAGCTGATCCCTCTCTCAATGTCGATCTTCCTGAGGTTTCTCATTTACTCCTACTTACTCCTACTTACTCCTACTGGGTTTTAGAGTTTTTCCTTGCCGATGCAGGAGGGTCTGTTGGACAGTTAGTGTCTAACAAGAAGGACTGTGGTGATGATCCAGGACACTCTCATGCTACAATATTTATGGACATTATCAACATTCATGGACATTGGTTGTCTCCCCCCATGTACCAATACCTAAGTGCTCTATATTTTTTTGTGTTTGAACTGTTTATTCTCTGATCTGTGTTGGTGATTTCAACGGTTTTGTTAAGTCCTCTGAGATGACTACTGTTGTGATTTAGGGCCATACAAGAATACATTTAATTTAATTGAAAACTCAGCAACATCTATCAAACTCTCACTCTGACATTGAGGTCATTAGTGGATCTTGAGGAAACAGAATAAAGAAAGAGGTGATAAGCCTTCAGTCTTTAAGGGTGGGAGAAGACTTTAGAGAATTGGATGTGTTTTTTCAATAAAGATAAACCCCGGTGTTTCGCTCAAACTAGACTAGAGCCAGATCTATCTACTTTCTATTTAATTGCAATCAATTAACTTCATTAAAAATGTAATTAACCACCATTAATAATATACACTTTTACCCCCAGATTTCACCAATACAAGCACTTTAAAACACCTGAATTGCAATATCATAAGACAAAGGATTAACACTATAATTGAAATACATGCGAAAACCAATTAAAAATTGTCTACTTTCTTACAGCATTTATTTGTTTTCAGAATTGCATCGTTTGTATCCGCGTGAGCCAAATGAATAAAACGTATTAAATAGTGACTGATGACTGACCGTATATTGGCAGACTTGGTCTTGAGATCCGTCCAGCGCTGGTTCATGTCGTCCAGTCTCTGCTGCAGGAACACAGCCTCCTCAGAGCTGCCAAGAGCTTTGACCATCTTGGCCTTGTTCCCCTCCACGTTCTTATAGATGTCATTGTGGGCATCGATCTCTGCCTGGATGTCCTGAAAACAAGAGACAAGGTGAGTATTTGATCACACCATACTGGACTCGGGGCGGAGGCAGAGCAACTGTACATTTTCATCAGCAAATTCCACAATCCGACACGACAGGTTTCGGGTTGGATTTTGTTGGAGGTGAGAAGTGTGTGCTGTTGCATTTTGTTGCAAAGAATTTTCAACAGGGATTTCTTTGAGTTTTGAACTTCTCCAGAGGGCATCCAACGAAATCATGTGCAAAAGAGTGAAAAAGATGAGACTGGATCAAAGTGAAATAGAGAACTTTTTTGGATTCAATGTTTATGGTAAAAAATAAATAATGTCTTTAGATGCAAAGAAACTGAAAGTCATAAAGGATAATATTAAAAGCCTTCATCTCCATGTATATCAGTTGTATGTTACCATTCACTGAATATCATTATCGAATCGCCTTGTATCTTTTATTTCTCACTACATGTTACCCAAGTCCAACCAGATATGAAGAGCACCTGACCCTGTACACTACTTCTATGCAAGCACAGAAGTAGCAGACAGGACTGCTTCTTCAATATATTATAGCCTTTATTACCACTAAGAAATAACATTTCAGCACTCGGTCTTCATCAGGGCTTTTATCTCGAGAAGGATGCACCTGTGCAGTTTTAAGCCTGCTGTCAGAGGCTTAAGTGGGAGGTGCTGGTCAAATTCTACTAAATAAATATGCCATAATAACAAAGGCTCTCAAGTAAGGAGCCATGCTAACTTAAAGCTTTGATCTGAAGTACATGGCCACAAAAGAAAATGTGTTTGAGACCCCAATTTAAATGTTATTTCAGACGTTGGTATATTTATACAAGTGTGTTTAAAATAATAATGCAAGAGATAGACCATGGCTGACTGGTTGCTGGAAAAGCAGATCTGCCCTAGAGCAACCTGCCAGGACTTAGCATTTGTTTAATGGTAAAACTTTTACACAGTACAATATAACTATCAGATGCCCTCTAGATATTTTTTGACATCTCACTAAACTAAATACAGTCAGATTTTTATGACTGAGGATGGTCCCGAACAGGAAAAATCTCTTCATGACTTCACATTCTACTTTTAAGGCACTTACTTTATTCTGCCTCAGTGAACAGAGGGTAATGCATTTTGTAAAACGTCTTCTGTGCAATGACTGCAAAGAAGACAAAAGAGAATTTCTCTACACCCCCAAAAAAGAATCCAGTGTTTGAGTGTGCGAAAGTTGGACCACAAAGGGGCCTGACGCAAACAGAAGATCCTGTCAAAAGTATTTTTAGAAGTGTGAAACTGCTCTATTTTCTCCTCTCCCCTGTCTCCCTCTTGCCCTGCTGGGACAACCCCCAGTTCAGCCGATTTCACCCACGGATAAAGAACTGAAATCTGACGCCATATGGATGTGTGTGGAAGTCCGCCGGAAGCAGACAGACGCATTTGTAAAGACAGAATTAGCTGTGATAAGCAAATGCAATGAGACCTATATCCGACTGGAGCCAAGTAATAAATAGTAATATCAGTCGTTGGGTGTGAAATGGTCCATCTTGAGAGCCTGGAGATGTTTATGTAGCCATCTTATGGGGTATTACTGAACAGAGCGATTCCATTACTGGCTTTCACTACATAAAGAGATGCAAGCGCAATCTTTTACCCAACCAATTAAAACTTGCTGAAAGAACACCACAAGAAAGCAATGCATTAGATAATCCAACGTTATGCCGCGTATTGAACTGATCATGTGACCTATGTTATAGATGCTGATGCAGATCGCTCAGTGCAATGCCTGTGTCATTTTATCTAACACAAACAAGCAAAAGAGGTACTTTCCCAGTGTCATCCAGCCAACTTCAGCTCCACCAATATACTCAAGCGGTACTTTGCTGAAAGAACTCGGAATATGGACATTACAGACCCCATTTTAAAGCCCAGGACAACCCCAATCCAGTCAAAACAGTTTTACAATCCAGGTTGTAGGCCCCTGGACAAGTCTGGGGAACTCAAGTGGCCTATTGTGCTAAAGTCAAAGATTTCATTCTTCATTCTTGCTTCTTCATTATACTAAAGTCAGAGATGTTAGATTTACATCCTCATTAAGCTAGATATGTTGTACTTGCTTGTTTATTATGCAAAGTAATTTAAGTAATTTTATTTCATTTTGTTTTAGTATAGAGTTATTGTTCATTTATCTTGTGCTCCTCATTCCTACTGTTCTGGAACCGGTCATGCAACGCTGACTTTTCCCCACTGTGGGACGAATAAACGATGCTAAAAAGTTGCGTTAGTGACATAGATAAACTTTCTAGACATTATAAAGCATACAATGATGGATGATGGACAATTATGTGAGTGTTAAAATGTCTGGGTGGCTTTTGGCATATCACTATTTAACACAAACACAAAACACATCATCGATCTTCATCTATCAATTACCGCAGACATGGATGGGAGACCGCAATCCTTCCAGAAAACATTGGCACTTATGCACCTTTGGACATAATTCAAATGCTTCAAAAAGATCAAAAGGTGCGCAGACAGTGAGAGAACAACAGGTTTTTGAGACGGCAGCACGTCCAGCTGGCTCCGTTCCAACTCATTACCCAAGTGCTTTCTTTATTTTCTTCAGCACTTTCACTTCCACTGAACTCACGTTACCTGAACACCCACCTCTGAAGCGGCGGCTTGTGTGGGCAGACAGAACCCTCATATACATTTTACAAAAGGCCTCTGTAAATGTCATTTTTACTCTCTGAAAGACTACTTGGAGCCGGTCGATATGAGTCCAGAGGTAGTGCTTAAGGACGTGTGTGTGCGGGGAGCCACAAAAGGCCTCTGTCTGCAGTGGAACATGTTTTATTTATGGCTCTTGTTGGATATAGTCAATATGGCCCTTGTAGTTTGAAATGGGGCTCTTTAACTCCCATAGAGACAAGAACACGCTTATAAACACATAATTATGACTGCAGTGCTTAGCTGAGGTGTGGACCAGCTTACCGCTATAGAGTCAAGAGAACAGCCAGGAAAATTGTACTGTATTTACTGACATTTGTAATGGTTTTGACTCACAAACAGTTTGAATATCTTTAACTGATTATAGTATAGTTGAAACTGTATTAGGAGGGCCAATGAAAAAGGTAGAATTTGTCAAATTTACACACTAGGTTTGTAATTAAAGATTATAGATATTTGATGAGTTGGGCGATAGTTCTGTCAATTAATCGTTTAGTAAATTAAAATCAATCAAACAAGGGATTTTGTGTAAATTTGATTAGAAAGAAGCTAATAGCAATACCACAGCTTCATAGAGGATAGATGTGACATAGTTGCTTGATTAGAAAAACAATTCAAAAGCATTTCTGTGTAGAATTGTATAACTATAGCTTTGTCACAGTCATTAAACTTCTTCTGAGCATATTTTGGTCCAAGTATACGGTTAAAAGTAGATTACTAAATTAGCTGGCTGCAACACACTGATTTCACCTTTATATATATAATTGGAATCTAAACACTCAAGCTATACTCACACGCCTGGTTTATGCAGTGGACTATTTTATCCATTTAATGCCAAACAAATAAAAACATTCATATATGGACAAGCGCTGATTACACTTGTGTAAGTATAGTCTTGAAAAGCTCTTAATTCTTCCATCTGGATATTCATAATGATGTTTTTGTGTCTAGACGTATCAAAAATAGTTGTTGTTGTTGCAGTTAAAGTAATTGCCTTTTCGATTATAAATTAGTTGCGATTAATCAATTACAGTAACTTTATACAGCCCAGTTCCATGTACAACTTTTTTTTAAATGGTCCCTTTCCTTATTCAAATACTGAGCTGTCATGAAGGCAACCAATTTTTGTATCACTGCCCTCTCTACCACTAATTCCACACATAAAATGTTGTATCTTTTTTTCCCCAAGAGAGATAATAGCACGTTCTACAAAACTTCAAAATGCCACTTGAGTTAACCACCTAATAAACATAAATCCTCGACTGAACACTTCTGTTATGATCTGCTGAGAACGCATTCAGTAGAAGAGTTAATTTGGACAAATTACATCCCAGAACTCAGTCTCACTCTAAACTGTACTGGCTCTGCATGGTAACCCACACTAATAACACAGAAAGCAGGCCAGCACCAATTATTCCATTTTAATGAGTCTAATAATAACTACACGGACCTCATAAAACAGAAGGTATTAGGGCCACTGGTTTGAAATGAATGGCGGCAGTGTTGAAGTTCACAGGGCAAAAACGATCATGGCTTTACCTGTTCAAACTTCCCCAGAAAGTCTTGTAAGCTAAAGTTGAAGCCAATCATTTTTGGGGTTTGCCGACACCTACATCCTTTCTATTGTGTGTACTTCATCAAACTCTGTGTAGAAATCCTCTGTGTAGAAAACATTCCTTCTAAGTTTCCATAAAAAAATAAAGAAAAAAAAAGACCCAGGATTGTGCAAAGAATTAATGCAAACATTTGGGAATAGTTTTGGACAACGGGTCAAATCTGGGTTTCCAAATGCCCCAGAGCAGCAAACCGTGTGCGTGAAATGCGGCAGAATGGGTGCCTCGCTCCCCACACATGTTGGGCTCATCCTCAGCTGAGAGGTATCCAAGCTTCCAGGCTGAGGGAGCGCGGTGACAGCTAGCCCACAGTCATGCTTTCAGAGCTGGATTAAAGAGGACGATTGGTGCCACAAGAGGTTTGACAAAGTCGGGGCTGCGGGCTCACGGCGGGGGCGCAAAATCCAACAAATCTTGAGTGGAAGTCTGCACTGTAAAGATAACCGAGTGTGACTTGAAGGACGAATAGTTGTTTTCCAAGAACAGGTCAAGCACAGTGGGTCTGGAGGCATCTGTTTACATGAGGAAAGCTAAATCTGCTTTCAATGACTCCAATAAACGTCTACATTGTTCCAGTTTGCTTGAGATAGAAGAGTTGAATGTAGTTTGTCCTTCCTCCCGGCTATGATCCTCTGATTGCCTTTGCTCCATCACACCGCTCTAATCACT